GTAAGATTCTGACTGATAAATATTCATGTATTTTAATCCTGTCCTTCATCGGGGTTAAATTTGTAAGAGGCAAATATGAAATAAATAAAGAATTAGATACTGCCTGTCAGTGTGACTATAGCATGTAGCACTGCTTTGCATCGAAGAATCCCTGGGTGTTTACCAGACCTTGTATGGGACTACAGAGCAAGGTATGGCCACAGTGCCATGCATTAGGGGCTGGTGGGCTCTTACGGGCTAAATTATGTACCTTCAAAATTTATATGTTGAAGTCCTAACCCCCAGTACCTCAGAATGTGACTGTATTTGGAGTATTTAAAGTGGTAATTAAGTTAAAATGAGGTCACTAGGGTGGGCCCTAATCCAATATGACTAGTGTCATTATAAGAAGAGGAGATCAGGACACACTCATACAGTGAGTGAAGATCATGTGAAGACACAGGGAGAAAATGGCCATCTCCAAGCCAAGGAGAGCGGCCCCAGAAGAAACAAATACTGCTGTGAAGAAATACATTTCTGTTATTTAAGCCACCTAGTCTGTGGTACATTTTATGGCAGCCATAGCAAACTAATATAGGGGCTGACTAATACATACCATCAAATAAAAAGTGGTTCAGACATAACCACTTTTTATTCTTATTTATATAATTTACAAAAATTCTGCAAAGGAAATTCATAATTTGAACAAAATTTACAAAGCAAAGATGCTACAAACTCAACACTGATATACCATATTCTGAACATAGTTCACAAGTTTATTGACAATAATCAAACTCATCCTTCATAGTCAATACATTTTACTGATTAAAAGGAAAAAAGTCCACAAAATCCTCCACGTCTTGCTAGTATGTTTAATTCACACTGTAACGATTTGGAGCTCTTTAAATTCTTTCTCCCTCTCCCCCCCTTTTTTTTTAACAATTGTACAAATCGTGTCTGCCATTGAGCTTCTCTATGAATTGGTCTGTGAATAGTTCTTCAAAAAAATGCAGTGTAGTACTTTCAGAAAATAATTTCTGTGAAATAAGTTAGGGTATGCTTTAAAGTAATTAGGCCAGGTGTGGTGGCTCACACCTCTAATCCTAGCACTCTGGGAGGCTGAGGCAGGAGGATTGCTTGAGCTCAGGAGTTCAAGACTAGCCTGAGCAAGAGTGAGACCCTGTCCCTACCAAAAAGAAAGAAAGAAAAAAAAAACCCAGTCAGGCATTGCAGCAATACATGCCTGTAGTCCCAGCTGCCCAGGGGCTGAGGCAGGAGGATCACTTAGGGCCCAGGAGTTGGAGGTTGCAGTGAGCTACGATGATGCCACTGCACTCTACCCAAG